TTAGTTGTTGCTGGAAGTATGTAGACCGTTTCTTCCTAGTTAAAAGTTTACATTGTCTTCGTAGAGTTCGGAATTGTTGCAGCAGGTCTGAGCGATCAGGACGTTTTATCATTGCACGGTGTGCTCGTTTACGCTTGAATAAAGTCTGCCGGAGCTCATCGTCTACCCAAGGCGATGGAGTATAGCTCTTCTTGGCGTTAACAGTCTTTAGTGGGCAGTACTCATTCAATGCATCACTGACTGCATCCTGCCAGTGTTCAGTATAACTATCTAGAGACATCTGTGATGAACTGCATGTGATCTGCTGGTGGAGAGTAGACATATGTTTAGCAGCTGTCTCTTGGAATTGCTTAATCTTCAACGTACGCAGCGGTGGCTTTCGTACTTGTACCTGTCTGTTTGTCTTGAGCGTGCTGGTGGTAGCATGGATATTGTAGTTCACACAAACAAGTTGGTGATCGGAAATATCACATGGAATAACATTGCAGTCTTTGTAAATCAGTTCATCCCTGCCTGGTCTTGCAGTAGACGTGGATAGCGCCAGGCGTGACACAAACAAACACACAAACAAACAAATACCAAATTAAAGCTGTGTGGACCCTGGCTAGCGCCAGACGTTACTGAAGTAACGTCTTCTGCATAGCTACGGGAATGACTGCTAATTCTTCATTCACATTTGTTTCTCTTTACCTCCCCCTGTGTAGGTTATTGCCTCTTGTTATTTGTATTTTTTGTTTGCATTATTTTTGCTTACTGCCATGGCTGGCTATCTCGCCCCCCCCCCCCCTCCCTTCATATTGGCCTATATTCCTGGCCACGGGAAGGTGGAATTAAGAAAATAAAATTAAATTACAAGCAGGAGACTCTTAGAACTCTAATAATTATTGGAGTTCGCTGAGGCTCCTCCAAACTATATTTCGCAAGTACACACTGGCTACAAACCCCATTTTTAGGTCTTGCTCAATATTTATATTGTTTCATAGACAGTGAAAACAAGCAACTCTGGTTAAAGGGGAAGTTAAGGCAAAAATTAAAATTTCACCAGTTGTAGTCTTCGGGGTACTGAGTCGAATGGTCGTGGTCCGAGGAAGCTGAGACGCTCCCTTCCTACTTTAATCCCAATCGAACTCGCGCACTTCCACCGAAACTGGGTGACTGCGCCCTACTAGATGGGGATTTGTATGCAAAATGTCACTAAAAGCGTCATTTCTTTCTTATAAAAGCACGGATAACTGCTATTGGCCCATAACAGTTATGTTGTAGTCTTTTGGACGCTGAGTCGACTGGTTTTGGTCCGAAAAGGCTGCGATGCAGCGTTCCTCCTTTATTCCCAATCGAACATGGTTGAACTAGCGGTCACGTGCTCCTGCGTACGCCAGTCACCTGGTCACCGTACCTGCAGGGTACAACTAATTACTTACTAGCCTGTTTGACCTTTTTTGGGTGCAGTCCTGTCACTCGAGTTGAACCTTGGTGTGAAAGTAACCTGCTGGCGTGGTGACCAGGTGATTTGGGCACCCAGGAGCACGTGACCGCTTCTTCAACCATGTTCGATTGGGAATAAAGGAGGAACGCTGAATCGCAGCCTTTTCGGACCAAAACTAGTCGACTCAGCGTCCAAAAGAGTACAACAAATGGGCGAATCGCGGTCATCTGTGCTTTTATAAGAACGAAATGGCGCTTTTAGTGACATTTTGCATACAAATCCCCATCTAGTAGGGCGCAGTCACCCAGTTTCGGTGGAAGTGCGCGAGTTCGATTGGGATTCAAGTAGGAAGGGAGCGTCTCAGCTTTCTCGGACCAAGACCATTCGACTCAGCACCCCGAAGACTACAACTGGTGAAATTTTAATTTTTGCCTTAACTTCCCCTTTAAGTTAACGATCATTAGACATGGTTAGGCCAAACTAAAGAAGGTGTGTGGTTCGACTAACATGGACATTTTTTTTACGGGCGGGCGGGCGGATTTTTTTTTTAAATATATTTTTTAGTACATGTAAATACACTGTACTGCCTTTAGACACCCAGTACATCGGCATTATTACGCAGTGTTATGCCATACATGTTGTATAAAGGGATCACTGGCTAATACTTTGAAACATTGTGTAGCTCTGGAACGAGAAGAGAATAACTTCAAGCGGTGACTCTGACTGTCCAAATCATCAAGCAAATGAAGAACGATGCGAGTTGAAAGTAAGTTCGGGAACTACTTCGAAGTACAAATTGTACAATGTACCGGTACATGTATTGCTAGTTTGGTGTCGGCGTGCACGAATACATGGGCTTTTTCCATCGACGCTTCCTGTGCTTGCACACATGGAGCAGCAACTTACCGGTACAGGTGAAATATCGTTCCCAATACACGAGGAAAGTGCAATCTCGTCTGTCCTTCATCCCAAAACAGAAGGCCGTCCTTAATCTGGCACGAGGCAATCACTCTCAACCGGACGGTCACTTCAAAATAAGGGTTGGTTCACATAAGCAAAATCGGCGCCGCAAGACATCGGCGGCGAGCCAGCTCCCGATCCGTTGCGCATACGGTTCGAGTACCAAATCTACTACAAAGTAGTACAGAATGTGCCCAAATGCTACGACAGGTTTGCCAATTGAAGCTTGAATTCTTTGTTTCTTCAGTAGTTCAAGGTCTTTCGGTGATGGCCACTCGGTGCTACTTTTACTGGAGATCATGAAAATACTTCTACACATTTTATTGCAGTCTAGTAAGCGATTGTGTCGAAATTATGCTTGCAAACGTTGGTGAAGTCACAAGAACTTGCCAATGTATCCATCATATTTTCTATTTGTTTCAATTGTATTTGTCTCAGAAGTTGCACAATGGTCAAGCAGATCATCCGAGAAGGACGGGCTGGTATGCTGACTTATTTGCCACCTTGAAGCGACTACAAGAATGGCGAACGGACCTCCTCTCTAGCTTCAATTTAGGAAAATTTAGGACAAGTGTTGGTTTGATATTTTGACAAAGTCTGGCTCCCGGCAGCCGGCGATCACCGGCGCGAACGGTTCACAAACCACTTTTGGTCAAAATTGTACGGGATCGGCGCCGGGGCAGATCGCAAGAGTTGGGCACTGTCCAACTTTGCCGGCGGTCCCTTGCGATATTTTACCGTATGATTTTGTTACGACTGCACTGGTTCACACAATCGCAAAGCGCCGGGAGAGGTTGCAAGAAGCCCACCGCCGGTGACTCCCGGCGCGTACCGGCGATATGTGAACCAACCCTAAGTCTCGCCAGTCTGCCGGTGGTCGTATCGAGTAGACTCCACTACCAGCACAAGGCAGCAGTCGTACCACTCACTGCACTGCACTGCAGTACAACTACAAGTCAAGTCCAAAAGGAGCCGCCTGCGTCCGCAGACTCACGCTGCACAGCACGTAGACGTGGGCGTGTTCAGTCCACGTACGTCAGTCACACGACAGCCCGCCGAAAAAAAGTTACGGTCGGGCTGAAAAATGTACGGTCGGTCGGGTGAGTCGAACCACAGACCTTCTTCAGTGTGGCCTTAGCATTAATTTTTACCGTTCACGCTATTTTCGATGGTCTGCCTGTAGCCCTTTCCCAAAGGTGCTGTTTTAATTCGCACTTAGTGCTTTTCGCGTCCTTCAAAATATGATGAAAAGTGCTCTTTTTTCAGTGAAAACAGGCAAAAGTGCTCCTTTTTCAGTGAAGCATAGCCATGATACATGTTCAGATATGAATCCAAGCTGAGAAATGAATACGCACTCTTCCATTTATGGGTCCACGAAAAGCAAAACAGGAAGTAAAGTTCAAAAACCCAATTTTTACAGCTTCACCAACTTGTTGCTCCCAAAAAAGCGGCGTGCCAAGGCCCATTGAGCACTGAAAAACTGCGATCGCATGCATGAGCAAACAGATTTTAGCACTTTTTCAGCTAAAAAAGCTCATAAAGGGCGATATTCACCAAAAAACGCAATAAAGGGCGAAAGAAACGGGCTTTTCCAAAAGGGCCAAAAAGGGCTATCGGCCTGTTCCGATTTTTGTGTGTGTACATGACCCCGTATGATTTTTTTATGCGGGCAATATGCGACTTGTTCATAATTATTATTATTATGGTGAAAAAGGAGAAGGACAAAATGTTACGAGTTATGACTAACTGTCCACCAACGTAACCAGATCTTATACAGTCAGCGAGTGCGACAAAATGGCACAAAACTGGCAAGGAGTACTGAGACATTCGGCGACCTGGCACCTAGCTCCAACTCTTCTCCAAGGCGCAAACCAACAACCTTCCAACTTGGAAGGCTCAGGTTTGGAAAGGTCCAAGAGGGGAAGGAACGCGCAACGAAGAAGCGCACGAGCTACGCATCACGGCAACAAAGAATGCCGAAAGTTACTGGATGATGACGAAACTAGTAAGACTATTGGACATACCGGCCTTACTACAACTTGACGACGCAAAGCAACAGACCACCCAACTTGGGAGGCTCAAGTTTATGTAACAAACGTAGAAAGGGAAAGCTAAGCCAAGACGAATTGTGACAAACCGAAACGTCAACATTCTACTGAACTCCACTATCATGTTACATTGTATGATGGACTAGTTATGTACAATAACAAGTAGTTCCACACGACGTACGTTTCCCCGTATAGGTCATGACGGCCCATCAGGTGTGCAAAATTCAACTCGGATGGTGAGCCAATTAAATTATGGTGAAAAGGAACATTTTGTCCTTCTCCTTTTTCACCATAATTCAATTGGCTAACCATCTGAGTTGAATTGCACATACACACACACACACACACACACACACACACACACACACACACACACACACACACACACACACACACACACACACACACACACACACACACACACACACACACACACACACACACACACACACACACACACACACACACATAATGTACACCCCCCTCATCCACACGCACACACACACACACACACACACACACACACGCAGTCACGCACGCACACATGCCAAAACACAAACACCAACAGCAATGCATCAGTCTTTCTCAGCACCAGCCGTGCGTGTAAAAGGTGTGCAGCGCCTTGTGCCGATTGGCCGCTTCAGGCTGCATTGGGTACACTTCACTAAGCGGCGTGACGCCTTCGTCAACATACCAGAGCAATCGCCTGCGTAGCTCATAGAAAACATCAGAGTGCTGCCGCATGATGTTGTTTTCCTCGAACGGATCCGTCTTCAAGTTAAACAGACCCCAGTTGCTGCGCATCCGGGAGAACCAAGTCAGCAAGTGACGGTTACTCAAGTTGCCGCGTGTGGGGGGAGGTAATGGGTCCGTGCCGATGTACCACTCGTCCCTGATTGGATTACGGCTATCCTCGAGCACAATCTTCCAGTAGCGTGCACGATACGCTCCCACGGCCGACGAGATCGTGCCGCGGCCGTCTCTGCGCTGGCGGGTCTTCAGCAGTGCTCCGTAGAGCATGGTCTGACGTGGGCTTGTCTTCAGGTCGATGGGCGACTTAAGCACGTGACTGAAGTCAATACCGTCCAGGCTATGCGGTAGGTCACGTTTCTCGGCACCGCCGAGCGCGGCGAATGTCGGCAGCCAGTCTACGGCGTGCACCAGGGTGTCGCTACGGTAACCCGACACGTTATGCCAGCCGCTGTGGTAGGCGAACATGGGCATTCGCACGCCGCCCTCGTAGTACGTTCCCTTGCCCCCGCGCAGCGGGTAATTTAGCCCCGTCCCGGGGAAGCCTCCGTTGTCCGATGTGAACACCAGCAGTGTGTTGTCCCAGATGCCTGCCTCTTTCAGACTGTTGACTATTGTGTGTACTCCATAGTCCAGGCTGAGAACCAAGCCCATGTAACCCTTACGTCGCGAGCTGAAGGTGGACTTTGGCAGCTTGTAGAACGGCACCCCGTACTTGCCGGGTGTGATGGGCGAGTGCGGGGCGTTGAAGAACACGTTGAGGAAGAGAGGTTTGGTACGTGTGGCTTCGCCGCTGGCATGTTCGCGGATCACGTCCGATGCCACCTTTGCAAACATGTCTGTGGCGTGCATGCCGTAGTACTGGGTCGTAGGCCGAGTGCCGTTGTGCAGAACACTAAAGCTTCTGCCGTTGGAATCAAGCTTTTTGTGAGTGAAGTAGTTCAAGCCTCCCACGTACGAACCGAAGAAGGAGTCGTAGCCGCGAGACGTCGGCACGTAGCTGACATTACACTCACCGAGATGCCACTTGCCGACGTAGTGAGTGCGATAGCCCAGTCTTTTCATGACGGCCGGCATTATGGTCTCAGTGAGCGGTAGGCCGTAGGGTGAGGCCCAGTTGACGTTGGCCCTGTGCAGACCAAACCTGAGCGGGTAGCGACCAGTCATGGTAGCAGCCCTACTCGGCGTGCACTTAGGCAGCGAGTAACCCTGATCGAAGATTATGCCTTTCTTGGCCAGTTCATCCATACGCGGGGCTAGGATGTGATTGCGTACGCCCTCCGGCATAAACTTCTCGTTCCACGGGACGTCGTTGAATCCCATGTCATCGGCCATGATGAACACGATGTTTGGGCGAGGATCCTTCTGCCAGTCTTGCGATGGGTTCTTCTTCGCCTCTCTCTCATTGTTCTCGCTCTCATCATTACTGTCTGATCTTGCAGATAGTGGTGCTGTGGTGGGGCTAGTGCCTGGACTGGTGACGCTGGTTGGCGGCACTATCGAGTTGCTCAGTTCATGCTCAGAGTCTCTCGAACCACTCTTGCCAGAGCTGCTATCATCGCTCGTCCGTGCTATCTCATAAGCTACACTGGCTCGCGCAATTGCGCACGTCACCGCTGCCAGGCACAGGAGACGCAGCGCCAGCATGGTGGTCGACCGTTTGACGTTCTATGACTATGAGGTGTCTGGTCAGTGCAGTATCAACGAGGACGAGCACGAATCAATGACAATGGGCACGATTTTACTGCTCGATCGGTGCATCCAGGGACGGTTGTCAAAGAGTGTGATTGAAGACTACGTTCTGTTTAGATCGTCCAAATAATTTGTGTCCGCGTCTGCTTCCTTTACCGTCATCATGGAATAACAACTATTTTCGCACCGACACGATGTCCCATTGAGGTGCGCTTCAGCTCAACACAACTCTATCTACACAGCTCTCCTCCGTCTAGCAAAGCGTGCCCGCAAAGATGTATCGTCACGATTCCTACCTAGCCTGCAAGCAAGAGCAGCGTGCGAACACGACCTGCACGGCACAGAGAAGTCTTCATAAACTGAACAACTGCGCCGTGTCTTCTGCTTTTCACATCTCACTGCAGTTTCCAAGAATTCGACTTTGTCGGGTCAGGCCCAAAAGGCGAATTGCCCGAAGCCAGGCAAAGTCGGTTGCCTCCTGTCTGTCCTCGACCCCTCGGCCTCGTGGATCGCATCGATAGTGTGAATTGTACGGTGGTCGATCTACATAGCCGGTGTACAAGCAGGGCCTAGGGCTTGGATATTGATTGACAGCTAGCCTACAGGCTACACTGCAGATGGGCAGAGATACAAGACGAATGAGTTGCGGCGAGCGGCAATGCAACAGTGCATCATACTGGAATGATTGCGTACACATGTGCCAGAAATGCAGCACTACTAGGATAAGCGCAGATAGTGACATAACAGCGTCAGTCTCTGGATGATTGCTTTTCAGATTCCGTGCAGCGGATTTCGAGCCGAACTCCTGTTGGCAACGGAAGATACCAACTCAAAATTTGCTTGGAATGTGAAGACTGAACCCAGACACCCGGTACCACAATGCCATACTTTGTTACCAGGTTACACATGTTGTGGGTTAGTACAGAGGCAATGCGGCTCGTTCCTCATTCGTTATTCCATTTGGCCTATTAAAGCGAAGACTAGCCAAGCTTGCTTGGCGATGTCAACGCGAAAAGTCTGATGTTGCTGCGGCTTGGAATGCTCGATGCCTGTGGTGGTTGTCTGCTGAAGCGATGACCATGATGACAGCCAGATTGGCTGTCAAACCAAGAATAAAATTTCCCTTGCTGTCCATTGTGTGTGCATTGGGCATACATGGCGGTCGAGACCTCAAGTCGGCTAAGTATGCTCAGTCCCACCACTATGACACTCCTCTATTCGTCATAATCGGCCCAAGGTGTTCGGAAGTTCGTATTTAAAATCAAAAACAAAAAACAAAACGTCCAGCCGCCTCAGCCTCAGTAGACAGTACACGTGCAGCCGCATGCTGTCATCAGCAAGATAGCCCATCAATTGGCACCCACCTTGCCCATTGCCATTGGGGTGAAAAGTTGGTGTTGATTGAATTGAATTTGTTTCAGCGAGAAGCCGAAAGGATTGGCAGAATGTGTAAATAGTTTTCTTCAATAGTCACCAGTGCCTCTGCGTTTTGATGAAGCTTGAATCAGATTGAATCAGTTTTGTGATAAGTTCTGGGTAGGATTCACACCACTACAGTGCAACCTCCCTTTCCGCTGACCACCTCACGAAAGCAAACACCTCACCATTCCGATCACTCCGTTTTTTGCTCCTTTCTGAATTATTTCCCTCCAATACCTGGCATACTGTATAACATACAGATCTGACCACCTCGGAAATCACAACACTTTGTCGACCACCTCGGAAATCACAACACTTTGTCGACCACCTCGGAAATCACAACACTTTGTCGACCACCTCGGAAATCACAACACTTTGTCGACCACCTCGGAAATCACAACACTTTGTCGACCACCTCGGAAATCACAACACTTTGTCGACCACCTCGGAAATCACAACACTTTGTGCGGTCCGAAAAATGGGTAGAATTTTTTAATTTTTTAGGTCAAACCCAACCTAGCGCGAGCTCCAGTGTGGGAGCACACCCATTCCTAAACAAAAATCATCGCCGAAGTCGCAACCTCTATTTCAAACCCAACCTCACGGTTGATTTATGAATGACAAAGAAGCGGCAGATCAAGCCCAGCCGACACGCCATCTCGGCTTCATTGCCAGAACTACGCACTGTAGGAACGCGCGAGAGAGAAAGAGAGAGAGACAGACAGAGACAGAGAGAGAGAGAGAGACAGACAGACAGACAGACAGAGAGAGAGACAGACAGAGAAAGGTGTGTGTGTGTGTATGTGAAAGCGAGGCACACAGACAGATAATAATTACTGTAATTTCACAAATTTTCGGTGCACTTTTATTTTCGGTACTTTCGGTGCGTCTGTTTCATACCTAAAATTTCAATACACCGAACAAATACTAACACACATAATCCAATAGGGAACTGCTTCTCTGTACCGAAAATTTCTGTTCACCTAACCTGGCCTGTTGCCCTCATACCGAAAATATTGAGCACCGGAAATTTCTGAAATTAGAGTATATTGATACTATAAGAAAGATTTCTCCGGAAAGTGTATAGTGACAGGTGCCATGCACCCAGTCGAACTCCAATGTACAGCAGAAATGCTTTGTGTTTCTACAAGTATTTCTGATGTATTTTAACCCTTTACTGTCCGATTAAAATGTATACAAGCCCACGCAACCACAAAATCTGAAACTAAAATTAGACGTAACTTTGGTTTGAATTTGACGATTTTCACGATCTTGGGCATCCTGGAAAGGTCTTGACGAGACGAACGCAATGAGCCCACACTCGGCGCCACAGGATGCACTGGTCCAGCGCTGCAAGCCAGGGAACGCGCAAAAGCGCTGAGCTCACGCTCGAGATCGATCTCAATCCACCAGGCACCATGTCACCCCTGTTGCTCGTATCGAGCTCAAATATTTTCGTAGAGACTCCCGGGAACCTACTTTTGAATTTGAATTGGTGTAGCCTTGCCAACAGGTGACGTAAACAGGGAAAATCCCAGCCGTCGACATGCGCGTCGCGCTCTGAACGCACATTTCCCGGGACCAGAATTACGAGTGCGATAACTCAGCAACCGCTCTTCGTATCGCTTCGGGAATTGTTCGAGGCGACAGCTGAGACTTTTCTCTTCGACCTACATATTTCGATCTCTCCAAACGACCTAGATTTGAGCAAGTTACGATAATTTCAAAATGCCTACCCCATCGATCCCATTGGATCGATGCTTGTATGTACGGACAGTAAAGGGTTAAAGATCTTTAGAAACAGTATACCATGTAACTGTTTCTCAGAGCGTCACAGAAACATCTTATCTAAACTTCGAGAAACGATTGGCCGTTAGGACTGAGAACCTGTGTCTTGTTCTCCAGTCAGCACACAATCGTCTTCAGTCCTGGGTTACACTCTTTCAAATAATATATACCGGTAAATAATGTTCACGGTTCGTGTGAGACTGGGCTGGGTTTTCCGCCTCCATAGGAACACCACCACCCTCTAGGATCAAGGTGAAGATACAGCGCCTAAACGGCGTGAGGTGAACAGATCAGACCCACCACAAAGTGGTCAAGGACTGAAATCCCATTAGCTGCATCCATTTCAAATAAATCTCTTCCAAATATTGTGGGTCTATGATGATGCTCTCATGGGCTAACATGTTGCGGGGGTCTACATTTTAAAAATTTTAGTTGAAGAGGCACAGTCAAGGATTCGAGAGGGCTGTGCGCTGTCTGCAGACTAATACCAATGGGGAAGCTAGATTTAGATTTGAGTGAAAAAGTAAAAAGTAGCATTTTTAATTAAATAAATGTTTAACTCGGATGGTGAGCCAATTAACTTTTTGAATTATGGTGAAAAAAGGAGGAGAAAATGTTACGACTTATGACTAACTGTCCACCAATTACCGTAACTAGATCTTATACACTCAGCGAGTGCGACAAAATGGCACAAGACTGACAAGGAGTACTGAGACATTCGGCGACCTGACACCTAGCTCCAACACTTCTAACGCAATCTGCATCTTGTGTTTTGTTTTGTTTTTAAACTTCGGCCAGTATGCCTATTAGTACTGTATTGGTATATTCACATTATGGTATATGCAACGTATCTATTTTTCTCTGGCCTTGCCTTCTGCCCACACTAAAGCTGGTTTTTCTCGTCTTGGCTACATAGGTTCTGATCGGTGGAATATGCTGCCTTCCACTGTTCGCTCTTGTACAGATTATCGCCCATTTGTTCGTTCATGCTTTTAAAACCTTTCTAGGGGCTCCCGTAAGAAGACCATAGGTCTGTGGGAAACACCCTAGTAAAATAAATAAAATAATAATAATAATAATAAATATGCATGCACATGTACATGTAGTCTACAGATTAGGGTCAGTAAGGACGAAACAGCATGCTATGCTGTCCGTAGATTGAGTATTGTACATGACTATAATTATTATGATTGTGCGGCATGAGTGTATTCTTCATTGTTTTGTTCTACAGTCATTAATTTTTACTTCGCTCCTCTCTGCATTCATGATCAAAGGTAACCAAGAGTGGATGAGCCGATCTACTCTTGCTGTAACCAATCTGATAGACTATAATTATAATATATAGGAGATATTCCGTAGTCGTTAGTTACAGGTTCACAAAGGGAAACCTACGGAATACAGTATCTCCTATCAGATGATTGGTTATCACTGCAACAGCAGCCGTACAGCACTAGTTGCCACTAGTGCTCATGCATGCTATTCACGAACAACAATTATGACTATACGTACTCATGAATACTACTACATGTCCAGTAGCAGACTCTTAGAACTCTAATTGGAGTTCGCTGAGGCTCCTCCAAACCATATTTCGCAAATACACTCTGGCTACAACTAGTACTTACAAGCCCAATTTGTAGGTCTTGCTGAATATTGTAGTTTCATAAATTAATAGTGATAAGAAACGGTTAGCACAGGGCAAGGCCCAGGAGACGCTGGTGTGTGCGGGGGGGGGGGGGGGAGAGACCTGGGCACTGCAACAGCTGGCACAGGACGTGCGAGCATGTGGGAGTTGTTTTATCAATCCTCCCATCTCCCTTCTGAATGACGTGTACATCCAAGGCTAGCTAATCGCCAGGATATACATTCAGTCAAGGTTTGTGTGACTGACGACGTTACCTGTAACCTGGTTCAGCTAGCCAACTGTTACTCACCACTGACACCGCACTTCTGCAGGGATTTCGCCGTCCACAGCGTTCACGAAGAAAGTCTTCATTGTCGACGCACGCAGTATACAGCACAGGTCAGTCCTGAATGCATAGCAGGACTACAAAGTCATCGCATATCTCAGGACACAACGATATGTAACGATGTCACCCATACCAGCTAGTCGATCTGCGAGGAGACTTGCGAACTGAGTGAAATGAAGACCGGTTTTAGTGGCCACCTAGTCGGAGTCCTTGCCTTTGGCAGTTCCGCAGTTTTTTTGGGTAGTGCGTGATGATGATTGTGATATGCCGTGACGTGCGTGCCAACGTTGACTAAGCAATACGAAGCAAGGCCAAGCTACAGACTACA